AGCTGTGTGGGCTGCCGGGGGTTGAAGGCAATGTGGGCGATAGGCGTGTCCCGCTCCAGCCAGTCCTTGGGCAGCCCGTGCTGCTGCACCACTCGGCTCCAGGCTGTGTACTCGCACTCGGGGATGCTGAACTCGAACAGCTGGGGGTCGCAGGCAATGGGGTGAGCGCGGCTCCAGGAACAAACCCACCAGGAGACCCCTGGGTCTCCCTCCACACCTGGCAGGGAGTGGAGGCTCGAGATCCCCTGGCCCTGGCTTGATTCCTCTCCTGCTGCCACCTCCCAGACAGGAGCCAGCACAGCTGCCCCCCTCCCCAGCACAGCCCCAGAACCACTCTGCACTGGCCAGCATGGGACATGGCACCCACTCAGGGGCTGGCATCAGACTCTGCCAGCATGGGACATGGCACCCACTCAGGGGCTGGCATCAGACTCTGCCAGCTGGACCCGTCCCACCAGGAAAGTAGCTGGCACATCCCAGCTTCCCACTAGCACCGGTCCCTGACCACAGCCAGAGCCCAGCACCAGTGCGTTGGGTGAGTGCTAGGGAGGCAGGATGGAGTGAGGGGGATCAGGGACGGGGCCCACATGCCCAACACAAGCAATGCCTGGGAGAGCTCCTACCTGCTGGTCCGAGTGGGCAATGACGAGGTGGTTGGTGGCTGGGTGGATGGCCATGGCGGTCACGGGGCAGTTGTGTGTGGGCACTGTGCAGTGATGCTGCGGAGAGATGGGAGGGTGAAGGACAGGCTGTGTCTCCCCACAGACCCCAGGCTGCTGCCCTCTCTCCACCCGAGTCCCTGGGGCAAGGCGGTGAGTGCCGCCAGCCTGGGAGAGAAGGTGCCAGCAGGTCACCACTGGCTAGATCCCAAGCGTCAGGGAAGGGTTCTCTCCCCAGGCCACCTGCAGCCTCTCACCTTGAACTGCTGCAGGCTGTAGATGTTGATGGCCCAGTCGCTGCTGGTGGCAGCCAGCCAGTCCCCGTCGGCACTCACCGCCAGCAGCTGCACGGCCTCTGCGGTCCCTGCAGGCAGGGGCAAAGGGATCAGCTGCATGGGGTTGGGCCAGGCAGCTCCTCTAGTGAGGTTTGAGGACCCTCCACGGTGACTCCCCCAGTGGTGGTTCATCCAGAAAGAAACTGGCTTCCTGCCCCAGGAATTGGAGACAAGGGAACGGCATGCCCAGGATGGGCCCCCCACCAATGTGTGCAGGGGCTTGTACCTGAGGGCGGACGGAGGGTCTGCAGGTGCTTGCAGCCCCCTGGCTCCAGCAGCTGGACAACGTGCACGGAGCCCTGGTCAGACGCCACGAAGAGGCGGCTGGAGTCAGCGGAGTACAGAAGCTGATAGACAGGGCACAGCAGCTTGGGCAGCTTGGGCACCTGCACGGGGCAGACAGCAGTCAGCATCGCTCGGGCCCCAATGGCCTTTGTTGCCCTGTGGAGCCTGGGCCAAGGCCACGGTGCCAGAGGCAGCGGTGGATAGGTTCCCCCCCCACTCTGCCACTCACCCTCTGGATGGCGACGACGCTGCCATCCTCGAGTTGCAGGCGGTGGAGATGAAGCCGGGAGGCCGTGGCATAGGCAATCCAGCCACCACAGGGCGAGATGCAGCTGCAGCAGATGTGCTCAGGGCCCTGGGGGCACATGAGTTATGGGACAGGGCCATCCCAGCCCTCTCCATACCAAAGGCATCCCCCAATTGCAACCCCCCTGGATTAGTGGTAGGGCTAAGGGCCGAGCTGCCCTCCCCGCATCCAGGGGGCAACTACAGGCCATGCTGCCAGCACACGCAGGAGACCTGCCCACTGCCACCCCACATCAGGGCAAAGGCCCCGGCCTGGTCCCCTGCACCCAAGATGCAGGCGCAGCAGGAAGCCCACGTCCTCACCACCGCTGGCATCGTGCACGGCCCCCGCAGCCCTCCCAGGTGCCAGAAGGACGCGTGCAGCTCCACGTCCCTGCGGCAGTCGAGACAGGATGGCGGAGCAAGCGCGGTGGCTCAGGGCAGGATGGAGATGGCCAGAGCAACAGGACTGGCCCCCACCCCTTCCTCACCTTGCTCTTGAGCTGCAGCAGGTGCTCAGGGTTACGGGAAACCGGCAGGACCTCACCATCCCTCCCTGAGACAGGAAGCAGCAGTGCTCAGCACAGCAGCACCCAGGGCTCTGTGCTGTCACTGCATGCATAAAGCCAGGGAAGGGAAATGCCTGCCCAGAACCCAGTGGGCCCAGAGCCCCCAGAAAAATGGGTAGTAGGAAGAGAGCTCTGCCCCCTGCCCAGCACCACGCCAATGCCCCTGGCATGCACGGGAGCTGCAGCACCAGCTGCTTTGCGGGACAAGTGGCCTGGATGCTGAGGCTTCCTGCTGCTGACAGGATCTCTGCTGTATAGATGCCAAGGACAAGGCTGCAGCCCACCCCCCAGCAAGGAGGGACCGTCTGACCCCGCAGGTCGTCATACTCCTCTAGCTGAGAGCACCCTCCCCAGGTTGGGCCACAGCCTGCTGCTCCAGCCCCCACTGCGGCCAGTGGTCCTGGCCCTCTCTGCTGGGGCCGTCACAGGGAACGGGGCAGCAGAGGGGATGGGCTAGTTTTCTGCCACGCATCCGATGCCAGGGGAGTTCTCCCAAAACCCCCAGATCGCGTCCCTCACCAGCTGCGTTGGTGGCTCCCAGTCGCCAGAGCTCCAAGTGCTGGGGGAACTGGAAGAGCAGAAGCCGTGCCTTCCTGGCGCAGGAGACGAGGCGCCGCTGCGAGAGAAAGGGGAAAGTGGTGGTGGGGGCCCATGCTGTCTGATGGGGGTGCAGGGCTGGACAGAGCCCCCGGGTTGGAGCCCCGTCCCCCAAGACGTTAGGAGCAAAAGGCTGGCAGTGTGGCAGAACCACCCCCCATGAATGAGGGCCAGCAGCTCCAGGGCCCGGGAAGGGGAGCAGCACTCACATGGGGGAAGGTGACCTTGCGCAGAGCGGCCTCGTAGCCCTGTCCATGCATCTTCTCCATGAGCGGGCGGATCACCAGCTGGCCGTCCAGACCTGGAGGATGCAGCGAGATGCCATGTCGATACAGCATGCTGGGGCAGCCCTGGCAAGACCGACCCTCAACCCCCCCAAGCCAGGCACTGCCCCGTACCTCCGGAGATGAGCGCTGTGCGACTGTGCACCACGGCACGCACGTCGTGGGTGTGGTGCTGGAAGGGCTTTGTCCGCACCCACCGGCGCTCGGTGCTCCCCCACTTCACCGGCAGCAGCTGGAACTGGTATATGGCCCCCTCCGAGGTGCCCACCACAAGACTGTCCTCCTCCTGGGAGAGGGGCAGGGAGCTCAAGGCAGGCTCTGCTGGCCGCGTGGGGGCCAGGGTCACCATCAGCCAGGGTGCTGGGTGAGCCTACAGCTCCGGAGCATGCCAGCAAGGAGGCAGCTGCCCCTGGGTGGGCACCCATGGGCCAGGCAGGACCAGCGAGGACGCTGCAGTGAAGGGGCCGGCCTCCCGCACGCCTGCTGCGAGCTGCGCAGCCCCCACCTCTTACCTCAGACACGGCCAGGGACAGCACCGCCGAGTTGCTCACAGGGTGGGTCTCCAGGAGGGTGCCCTTGTCCGCGTCCCAGAACTGCACCTTGCCCGCCGAGTCGGCGCTGACCACGGTGCCGTCCGACAGGAACGCCACGCCCCACACCACGCACTCCCGCCGCTGGGAGGCCAGCAGGCGCCGCTCCACCCGGATCCTCTGCACGACGTGGCCTGGGACGTGCGGACGGGTCAGCGGGCACCGCAGAGCGGGCAGCCCCCGCAGGGACCCAAGCTCCCCCATCAAGTATGTGCTGCCCCAGAGGCGCCCCCACAACGCGGTGGGGAGCGGAGGCGCAAAGGGTGTTCAGTCACCTGAGTCGACGTCGTACACTCGGAGATGGTTGATGGAGCCCACGACGATGCGGGTCCCGGACACGTGCCAGGAGAGGGACAGGATACGGCCTGGAGACACACGCGCCCCGGAAGAACGCCTCAGAGACGAGCCCCAGGGCCTGCCCCCCACCGCTGGGTGCAGAGACCCCGCCGGGGCGGGAGTGGGGGGGTCCCTGGGGTTGGAGAGGGCAGAAACACTGTCCCGCCGCTCCGTGCATGACCCGCCGGGCCGCGGCCATCACCTTTCTGCCGGTCCAGGCTCCTCTCAAACTGGATCTTGTCCGGCAGGACCTGGAACAGCTTCACCGACCCGTCCTCGCAGCCGATCTGCAGGGTGGGGGGAAGGACAGCCCCGCTCAGGCCCGTCCGGGAGGCTGGCG